GGTTGTCATACGAGGAGAGGTTGAAATGTCTCACATTGTTTTCTCTTGAAAAAAGAAGAGATAGGGGGAATCTGTTTGAGGTGTTTAAGATTGTAAAAGGGAATTGATAGTGTTGATGCATCATCTTTTTCTATACTTAACAGTGAGAATAGTAGGACTAGGGAACACAAATATACATTTTGGCAGGGTAGGAATCATCTTCAGCTAAGACAATTTTATTTTTTTAACAGAGCGATTGGCCTTTGGAATAGGTTGCCTTTGGCTGTTGTGGAGGCAGTAAATTTAAATGAGTTTAAGAAAAAGCTTGATAAGTATATGGATGATAAGGGTTAGCTTTAAGATTTTTTTAAATTTATCTATTTATTTATTAATAGTTTTATTTAGTTTAGAGGATGGAACAGCTGAGATGGACCAATAGATTCCATGTTGTTCCAAAATATTATGTTATGTTATAAATATTACAGTTGATAAATACAAAAATATTGAATAATAAGGAGCCAAAAAATACTAATCCCAGTAAAAGATATCACACAGCAAAAACTTTCTATACAGCTGAGATGGTGAAACTGTACAGTTGAATAAATGTTGCAAAAAATTTTACTAACTACAAAATTTGTAGAAAATTTCTTCAGACTGATAACTTGTACTGATAAAATAAGTTATTCACAATCACTACTTTCCAATTTCCAAACATTATTATGTAGGTAAGAAGCTTAACACACCTTCTTCAACTGAGACAGTAAAACTGTGTAAATAACCAGTCAATCCCTGCAAGCATCCAGACACAATGCTTCTCTCTAGTTTCCGTGTTTTGGAGGTCATCTATTCAAAAGTAAACACAAAGGATTGCGGCTACATCAGCCATGCGTTCCAAGTTTTATAAGGAAACAAAGTTTTTGTTTTAAAAGAAAACAAGATATCCTACTAAACAAACAACTGGTAACATCACGAAGCAAAAAGTTATATGGTTCAGAAGACCTGAATAAAAGCATGTACCCTTTTGAAGTGAAGTCAACAAAATATAACATAAACATGCATATGAATCGATATTTACAGTTGTTCTCCCATCTGTCTTGTTTAAACAAATACACATTTTCTGACAAGAACCTTATAACTAGCAATAACTTGCTTAACACAAACTGGTTTCTAAAAGCAATTGATTCAAATCAGCAAATTAAATTGATAACGTAGAATTTTCACCATTAAATGTACAATTCATAATTTCATGCTAACCAAATATGGTGTCCAGGACCATTATGATTTTTTGGTTGAAAAAAAAAATACAAAACAGAAAACAACAAATACAGTGCCACTTTTTGTAATAATTATGAAAACAGGCAATAAATACACACTATTAAGGTGCATCTCACCTCACTGTAAGATGTATGCATTAGAACAATTGTAATATTAAAGAAACAGTACAATATCAGCAAGACAAAGACAATTATAAATTTTATGTCATAGTGTCTCTTGAATCATCAGGGAACTTTATTTTCAAAAATATGCTGAAATTCAAAATAAACATAAGACAACATAACTATTTATAACCGTTATCAATACGTTTCTGAAATTGACTTTATTAACTTGTGAACGTTTTATTCAAGGATACATGAATACATGATACGAACTTTCAGTGCGTTTTCAATAAAATATGTTGAGATGACTTTATTCAACATATTGAAATTTTTCAAAGTGGTTGCAACTGGAAGAATATTTTTAAACATGTTTGAATAAAAAACAATTATAAGAGTACAAAATGAAACCAGGAAACTGCAAAAGAAGCCAACTAAAAGTTTTTAAGCATGTAATGCATTTTCTCTGAGCTCGTTTAACAATCATCAAAGAAATATTAAGTGTAGTACAACATTAAACCCATCTCTCTAATTTGTAATCATTTTACAACAGAAAGTACAAATATTTTATAATGAACTGCTACACTTTAAGAGTAATTAAACATTTTCTTTAATGAAGAAACTGCTCGGAAACTTTGCAAAAACAAAACTAATCTTTCCGTCTCTCGGCTCAATTGTTTATTAACCCAACAAACTACATGTAATACCTTATGACCCACCAGTGTTTATTAACCCAACAAACTACATGTAATACCTTATGACCCACCAGTGTTTATTAACCCAACAAACTACATGTAATACCTTATGACCCACCAGTGTTTATTAACCCAACAAACTACATGTAATACCTTATGACTCACCAGTGTTTATTAACCCAACAAACTACATGTAATACCTTATGACCCACCAGCCATGAACTGCTCTTCCTCAGAATTATATTTAAGCTTGAATGTTTTTGTTTTGTTTTGTGTGTGTGTGTGCTTATATGTCAAAAGAGGAATGTTAGTCACATGTCTTTTATTAGACAGAAATGGAGAGAGGTCTAGAAAAAGAGTTAATTATCATTTCCTGTAGGTAAAAGTTTAACTTCACAACAGTCACTGTTTTCGAGTACTCTAGAATATAACCAATTACAGAAAGTTGGCAACACTGTATATTTTCAAAAGTTATCGAGTATCATGTATAATATAAATATAATTTATACAGTAAACATACATGAATACACACCATAAGATCAATCTTAAAGGTTTACCTGCTGTTTCAGCTCATTCAAATATAAATCACACAGCTTCTCAGAGTAAGAGATCATGTATTCTGGGTAATATTCAGATAATGATCCAAGCAGACAGAGAATTCCTTGCTTCACTAAAATCATAAATGTAACATTTCAGTAGCAATACTTAAGAAAAAATAACATGAATAAAAGACAAGTTTAAATGTATAACAAACTTAATATTTTTTTTTAAAACGTTTGTTAGTAGATACAGATAAACAGCTTCCTTGTATACTTCTTGATCAGAATGTTTCCTGTTGACTTAAACCTCTTCCACAAAAACAATTTACATGTTGCAACTTTTACATTGTATCTGACTATAAAAAATTAGTATTTTAATATATAAATACACAACTTACAAGATCTTTGGCAAGATTATTAGATGGTGTTTCAACCAGAATTAACACTTAAAGCTTGTCAGTACCAAAATTAAAGCAATTACTTAATTTGTAAAAAAATAAAAATTTCACCAAAATATAATATACTTAAAAAAATTTAATCCAACCTGTTCACCCATGAACATTTAAATTTGAGATATGAGTATACTCCCACACCATAATGGCCACTAAACTGAGATGTAAATCAATTAGAATATTATACACAGGATAATCATAATGTTTCCAGGCATGCCAATATTTGTTTGTAATAGGATAAAAGTTTCCAAAAACATTAACATAGTTGTAACTTAATACCTATTTGTAAAAAAAAAAAGAGCTATAATTTAACTATTTAATTTTTGAGGATTGCTTTCTTTATTCTTCGTGGTTTGATTAATGACAGTCCATCCTGACGTGTATTATGAAGTGTACCTGTAGGAGGTAATTTTGATGCTTGAATCAGTTGCATAAACATCTTTTTAACAAGGTCCGGAATGTCAAAGTCTTGCACTTGGGATGTTCCACGGCAAGTCTCCAAAATCTAGAGTATAAATATTAGATTATTTGGTTTCATTTTCCATAACTTCAAAATACACATTTTTAATACAGTTTTATAAAAAAAACAGTGTGATAACCCAAAACTCCATTAACTATAACCTTTTTATTCTTGTTATTTTATAAGGTCTTGATTTTGGTCACTTATACTTTTTTTTTATTTTAATTGTTGAGATTGTAAATCACTCAAGCTATTAAACAAACCCACCTATCTCTCCTCTGAAATTTATTCCAATTAATGAGCTTTCAAAAAACTTTTAAGTGAGAAATAAGTGGCATTGTTGTTTAAAACACAAAATCAACAGTTTGTAGAAATTCAAGAGTGCATTACATTCTACCTGTTTAACAACTAGAAACTGATTTTGCAATTCAGCACACTACTCTAAGGTTCATTTGCTTTGTACACAGGGTCAAATTAAATTACACAGCATGTTAGACTGTCTGACAATTTGAAATCTAACAAAAATGGGGGGCAGAAGGCTTGTGGCATGCATAAAGAAAAAATGTGCATATAGAGGGCAGCACTAGACGAGAATAGCTAATCTTGTAAGTGGAAGGAATGGGGGGCAGAAGGCTTGTGGCATGCATAAAGAAAAATGTGCATATAGAGGGCAGCACTAGACGAGAATAGCTAATCTTGTGAAAGGAGGGAAGTACCGTATGGGAAATATTATATTAGAGTAATATTTTATATAATAGTAATAAAGATTATCTAGGATGTTTTGAAACATTTGCTAAATTTAGCATGTTCGTTCAAGAAAATTAGTTGAGTTGTAGCCTAAACAAGAGAAAAGCATCAAAGATGTCAAAATTGTGACTAAATATCAAACATGAAGCTTGCTCTTTAATTGGTTTGATATTTTATATTAATTTGAATTCTACATTTTGTAATATATACTTTGTTCCAGTGATCTAACAATTTCCTGCATATTGAATTGTTTAAGGACTTAATGCTGATTAAAAAATTTGCAGCAAAAAAATTAATTAAAAAGTACAAGTTTTCCACCTTATCTTGAATAATTTAAATATCTACAATCATAATTAAAAGCTTATATTCTAAGTGGTCTACATATTTATGAAACACAAATGAAGAATTAACAAAAATTACCTTTGCCACACAAACAAGAGCACCACTTCTAACTCGAGCAAATTGATCACGCAAAAAGACTGAAAAACAAGCATCCTAGGAGAGTAAACATTCATAATTACTGAAAATAACTGTTGTTTAGGATTACGGAAAACACTAAACTAATGAATAATCAAAAACAAGAATAGACAGCTTTGTGTTATATACAAGAGCAAATATGAAAATTTAAAATTATAATAATAAATATGCATACTTTTTCAACTCATACTAATAATGTGAATAAAAGAATTATTATTACATATACATATTCAAAACTGTGTGCAGCAATGTAAAACGTTCAGTAAAGTTGCCAATTATAGATACTTAATTATTTTCAGGAACACACACAAACAATATATTTATTGTGAAACCTTACCTTGATCCTGACTCCATATGAGACAGCTTTTTTCTTGACATTATCAAGCAACTTTGGAAGAAAATCTAGAATCTCCAATTTTCCATTTTGAAACTACACATACAAATATAATCAATTATTTATGATATACATTTCTTAATACATTTGTAACATTTAGATCCATCATTTGCGTTGGCCTTAACAATATAAAGAACTCAAGAATAGTGTACGAGGTCAAATAATCTTATGAGAACCAAGACATAAAAGTCTTCTGATAACAGTATTAAGCAAACTGTCTCAAAATCAAATATAGTTATTCAAAACACTGCTTTATGCATGTGTGGCATCTTAAAAATTCACTCTTTATAAAGATTTGGTGGAAAAGTCAATAAACCTGGTTAACATTTTAGTGAATGTGTGATATATTTCATGTTTTAAAAAGCAACAGACAGGGAAGTGTTTTTTTTTTATATAAAACAAAACTTTCAACACAAGAAGTGTAAATCCTTCACTCATTTTCTGTTCTATACAAACCAAAGTCTTGAAGCGGAAGTATTTAATAATCAGATCAGCTGAAAATTAAATACAAATCAATCTTTCCTTACTTGTTTCTGATAAATGAAATAAGAGAGATTATGTAAATTGGATTTTTCTGTATGTGCTTAAACATAAACATCACTATTTTTTGTACTTCCAATGTCATTTTATCATACTGCTCTAAAGTCTTACTGTATGGATCATTACAACAGGAAACATAAGTATTTTAGGGTTTTGTCCTCTTAATTTCATTTCCAAATGATAACATCGAACCATTTGGTTGACCTACACTATCCCAATTTGAGTTGGGCAAATAAATGGCAGATGGGCTTTAATTATAATAAATGCAAGATAATGCATGTGGGTTATCATAATTTGAATTATAAGTATAATTTCAATGGGATAACCTTAATAATGTTATGAAGGATCTTGGTGTAAGTCTCTAAAGCTCATCCAAGCAGTGTGCTGTTGCCAGTGGTAGGGCAAATAGGATTTTAGGTTGTATCTGCAGAAATATTGAATACAAGTCTAAAGAGGTTATACTTTCATTGTATAGGTCACTGGTTAGGCCGCATTTGGAGTATTGTGTTCAGTTTTGGGCTCCTTACCTTAGAAAAGACATTGAATTGTTGGAAAGGATTCAGAGACGGATTACTAAAATGATGCCTGGGATGGAGGGGTTGTCACAAGAGGAGAGGCTGAAATCTTTCAAGTTGTTTTCTCTTGAAAAAAGAAGAGTTAGGTGGGATCTGATTGAGGTGTTTAAGATTGTAGAAAGAATTGATAGTGTTGATGTATCATCTTTTTTATATTTAACAATGAGAATAGTAAGACTAGAGGACACAAATATAAATTTTGGCAACGTAGGAATCATCTTCAGCTAAGACAGTTTTATTTTTCTAACAGGGTGGTT